ACTAGACTGAAGAACAAAAAGACAGCAACTTGTCTGTTCCCCATCCCCCAATTCCCTAGCGCTGTTCCCATCCCCCAGTTTCCCAATAAAAATGTAAAAAAAAAAAAAAGAAAAAAAGAAATGTCTTGGGGGGAAAAAAAAATCTGCTTATGTAGGTTTTTCTGTGGAAGTTGTCCTAGTCCCTAATAATAGTAAATACTCTGAAAATTAAGTAAGACAATCCGAATGGTACTCCACAGCTAAAGACAAAATGTTTTTAGAAATCAAGCAGACACAAATTTAAGCTATACAGCATACTGTTTTAAATGAATAGGCAGAAAAAGAGTACTACCTCTTCTCATTAGTTTCCACAGCATCCCTGGATCTCTGTTTTGCAAATAACTTGGCCATTCTTTTAGCTTTGTTTTTTTGTCTATTGCTCATTCCTGCTCGAAATTCTGAGTCAATCAATTCAGCTGCCTGGAGAGTCTGAAAGAATAAAAGAACACTGAGTTTGACCTTTAAAATTTAAAATAAATATCCATAGTCTCAGCCTCAGAGAAGTAGTCTATAAATTTCACTATACACAAATTGATCACTCTTTTTCAACAGCTTTATGCTCTTCTGTTATATGGCTATACTACAATTTCACTCTCTTCTTCCTTTCCTATTCTTCCAGTTCCCAGGAGATGCTTATGTGTTTCTTAACTCATCTTATATCACAGATATGGCACAAATGTATGATCCTAACTTACTTGAAGAGGTGAGATTTCAAAATAACCATAATACCAGCCAAAAGTTATAAGAATAAATAACATCAATGAAAGCAATTGATCATCATCTGCTGAAAAAAATAAAAATATTATAGCTAGAATCCTACAGTCAACTTAACCCATAAGCTCCCCTCCTCTTAAGCATTCACTGCCTACTGTTTTTTCTCTCTTTTCCACTCATGGGAAGAAGGCATTAAGGCGATGAGACAGAAATGCTTTGAGCCCAACTTAAAAGTCCTTTCTGCCCTTAACTGATTAAGATTCAAGTGAAATTTATAAGCTACAACCAATTAGGGTCACTGGTGTGGATGCCATGCTACAGTCTTGGTCCAGATAGCATTGGTGCACGTATAAGGCAATTCGACAGTGATAAGCCTGTGGCAACAACTAACCATAGGTTAGTTGGGCCTACGGCAACTCCTCCCAAAAGTCCATGACAACCAAACTTGGATCTTGCAAACCCTAAATTGGCTGTTGCCCATCCATATCCAACTATTCTGTATTCAGACCATTTTCTCTAATATACCTGCCTATTCATTTTCTTACAACATGCCCAATTACCACACTGTGATCACATTACTACATTTTTGTTCTCCTTTATTATATTCTTCTTCAATTTTTATTTACTTCTTATGCTTCCCTTTGCACCCCATTTCTTTGCATTCCTTCCTGCCATTGTATTTTCTCCCTTTTTATACTCTTCTTTTTCCCTTCGGTATGTGCAATTTTTTTTCTTGTCTGCAAAAGTTATTTATAATCACACATACTCCAACCCAAAACAATGCAGTTTACAAATCTAATAGTTTAGAGAACTACTACTATAAAGGCCCATTTTCCACTTAAGCAACAGGAAAGCCCAAAGGAATGAGAAGGGTTGCATAACTACAAAGCAGGAATTCTAAATGGGGCTCATGGAACCCTAAAAGGATATTGCAGAGGCAAGAGGAAAGAGAGCTGAACACCTTGAAAGGTAATATTTCACTTGCATGTGAATTTTTCTGAGGAGAAAGCCACAGCTTTCACTGGAGCTAAAAAAGAGTCTGGGGCATAAAGAAAGAAGCACATAGGTATCCATTGGGAATTAGAAGAATAGAGGGAAAAGGAAGAACACAGAACAAAATTATGGTATAGCCATACAACAAAATAACATGAAACAGTAAAAAAAAAATTGGTCAAGCTGTATATACTGGGAAAAGGTAAACATGGCTTAAAAGGACACATATACATGTGTGTACACAGGAAATTTCAGGAAGGATGCACAAATAACTTAAAAAGGGTTGTGTATAGGGTAAGGGACATGGGTGTCCATCAATTGTTAGAAAGAAACTTCTTTTACTTCACATTTTATATCTTTTTGCATTGTTTAAAAGTCTTCTTTTTATTATGTTACTTTCTCAAATAAAAGGATGAATCATAGCTTTAAAGATTTCTAGTATCACTATATCTGACTATGATAGTCCTTACTATCTCCCACTCTCTCAAATGTTTTTTTTCCTTTACTAAAGAACAAAGGAAAGAGCAACAGGTGCAACTAGGTTCTCTCAGTACCAGTGGCTCCTAAAATATCCACCACAGTTTTTATCAAACAGTCCAGTGTCTACAAGGTAGGTTGAACTTCCACCTCCATAAAATCTGTCACCAGAAATCTAATTTATGAAGACACTAAATTACGGTGGCACTAAGCAACAAAGACAGAATCAAGGACAGCATTTTAGTTTTTAAATTGCAACTGCATAACAAAATGAAGCAAGCCCTTTGTATTACTCTCAGTCAAACAAACAAAGGTTTTACCTACAGGTTGTTTGTTTACAAGGGCTGCTGATGTCGGAGTATAATCCAAATCTTCATCATTGAAGAGTTCTTCAGTACTCATTCCAATGGCTTCTCCCATATTAAGACCAAGTTTCTTCTGTAATAGTTTTCGTTGGCGTGCTATCCTCTCTTTAGGATCCACTTCACCTTTAAATAGAAAAGAAATACATTTCATCCACATCAGTTAAGTTTTCTAATACATGAAGCTCAAACTCAATTAAAATACACACACACAAAAATTAACTATTAAAATACCCCTCCTGGCAATAAAACAAACCATGCTCACAGTCTTTAAATGTGTCATAAACTGCATTACCTAACCATGATCAGAATAGTGTTCTAGCTAACAAAACACTCTAATAGTTTTCACTGAGACGCCCCACTGCCGTACTGTCAATTATCAAGCTTACATAAAATTAGCTTCCAGTCCTATGAGAAAAAAAAACCAAAACCTTATTTTATAGGTACACCTTGTACATTCTATGAAAGATCTAACCAAGCTAAAAAAAAACCCAAAATCTAGATTTTACTCAACAGAAAAATATCTCAACAAATACATGTTTATTCCAAGTGTGGTCTTTATGAATTCTGAGATGACGCAGACCTAATAGCCCAAATAACAAAGATAAAGAGATAAAAAGAGACAGATTTTGAATGTCCCAAGTAAAACCTGGAATACTTCAGTGGAAAACAGATCAAAAGATATAACTTTAAAAATAAAAATTTGGGCTTAAAACAATTAAGTTGCAAGAGACAGTTCTACACTATTGGGAAAAAATTTAACATTTTAAAAACAATAATGATCGTCCTCTAATAATGGCAGAGTAAGTGCTTATTGGACTAAGTGCTTCTTGATTTTAAAGCTTACCAGAAAGCAAAAGTAACCAAGACAATGAGGTATTGGCATAAAGACAGAAATCAATGGACTAGAATTGAGAGTCCAGAAATAAAACTATGGGTCTATAGCCAACGGTGCCAAGACAATTCAGTGGAGAAAGAATAGTTCTTTTCTTCAACAAATGGTGTTGAGACAACAGGATAGCCAACTGCAGAAGAATAAAGTTGGATCCATAACACATATAAAAATTAACTCAAAATCAAAATGGATCAAATACCTTATAGTAAGAGCTACAATAAATAAAGCTATAAAACTCTTAGAAGAAAACATAGATGTAAATGACCTTAGATTTGGCAATAGCTTCTTATATATGACATCAGAAGCTTGAAAAACAAAAGAAAAAGATAAACTGGACTTCTTCAAACTTAGCAACTTCAGTGCTTCAAAGGATACCATCAAGAAAGTGAAACGGGGGCCGGCCGAGTGGCTCAGCTGGTTAAGAGCTCGCTTGGGAACGCCAGCTCTGAGCAGCAGGGCTGCAGTTCGGTTCCCACATTGAGGGCCAGTGACACTGCCCTCTACAGCTAAGATGATGAACAACAGCTCGACCTGGAGCTGGGCTGCTGTGAGTCACCGGCGACGGCATAGGCTGCAGCAGGGCTGCAGCAGGGCTACAGTGGGCTACGTGAGCGGCTGGTGGCCAGCGTGAGCGGCTGGCTGGTAGCCGGTGTGAGCTACTGGGAGCTGCTGTGAGCGGCCGACCAATGACCGGCGACCAATGGCCTCACCCGGGAAGAGCGCAATGATAATACCAACATGGGCCAGTGAAGCGAGGCCCTCACAACTGGGCTGAAGAACAAAAAAACAGCAACTTGTCTACCTGTCTGTTCCCCTTCCCCGATTCCCCAACGCTGTTCCCCTCCCCCCAATTCCCCAATAAAATCTTAAAAAAAAGAAAGTGAAACGGTAACCTGAAGACTGGAAGAACATATTTGCAAATCAAATACCTGACAAGGGGTTTGTATTCAAAATATAAAAGGAACTCTTACAAATCAATAATAAAAGAACGAATACCCTACTTTAAAAATGGGCTAAGGATCTGAATAGACAGTTCCCCATTTCTGGGATATGTAAGTCATAATCCTTGAGGCTTTACTTCCTTAGTGTGAGTGTACTGAAAGTGTGCTGTCAATCAAAACAACCCTGGGGTTTTCACTTCTCGAAAATGGGAGCTCATATGCTGAGGGAGCTACTGGCCAAACCCGTGTGGGTGGCTTCTGCCTCTTCCTTCAACAGGTCATAGCATATTCTCTCTCTTTTTTTTTTTTTTTTAAAGATTTTATTGGGGAATTGGGGGAGGGAAACAGCACTGGGGAATTGGGGGAAGGGGAGCAGACAAGTTGCGTCCTTTTGTTCTTCACTCTAGTTGTGGAGGACGTTGATTCACTGGCCCAAGTTGGCATCATCATTGTGCTCTTCCAGGGCGAGGCAGATTAGGCTTCTGGATGGCCGCTTATGCTGGCTGCTGGCTACATATGGTAGCCCATGGCAACCCACTGCAGCAGGGGCTGCAGCCTACGCCGTCGCCAGCGACTCATGGCAGCCCAGCTCCAGGTTGAGCTGTTGTTCAGCATCTTAGCTGTAGAGGGCAGTGTCACTGGCCCTCATATGTGGGATCCGAACCGGGGCCCTCTGGCGTCCCAAGCCAGTTCTTAACTATCGCGCCACTCGGCCGGCCCCATAGCATATTCTTAATTTAATATACTAGCTACGAGTCCCCCAACACAGCAAGGATGTGGAGAAATTGGAAATCTTGTGCATTGCTGGTAAGAATATAAAATGGTGCAGCCACTATGGAAAACAGTATGACAGTCCCTAAAAAAATTAAAAACAGAATTACCATGATCCAGTAATTCCATTTCTGGGCATATACCTAAAAGAACTGAAAGCAGGAATTCAAATAGATGTTTGTATACCGATGTTCATAGCAGCATTAGTCGCAATAACTGAAAGGTAAAAGAAACTCCAAGTATCCACTGATGGATCAATGGATAAACAAAAGGTGGTATAAACACACATTAGAATAATATTCGGCCTTTAAAAAGGAAAAACATTCTGACACATACTACAACATGGATGAAGCTTGAGGAGATTATGCTAAGTGAAATAAGCCAGTCACAAAAGGACAAATACTGTATAATTCCACTTATACAAAGTACCTAGAGTAGTCAAATTCATAAAGACAAAAAGTAGAACACTGCTTCTAAGGGGTTGAGGGGAGAAGAGGAATGCGAATTATTTAATGGGTATACAATTTCCGTTTTGCAAGAAGAAAAGAGTTCTGGAGATTGGCTGCACAACAATGTGAATGTCCTTAATACTACTGAACTGTACACTTAAAAATGGGTAAGATGGTAAATTTTGTTATCTATATTCTACCATAATTAAAAAACAGATCTATCCTATAATAGCAATGAAAACTATCTTGGAAAAAAAATGAAGTACTGATATATATACTACAATATGGATAAACCTTGGAAACATTCTTCTAAGTAAAAGAAGTCAGTCACAAAAGACCACATATTGTATGATTTTATTTATATGACATGTCCAGAATAGGCAAATCTATAGAGACAGAACGCTGCTTAGGGCTGGGAAGGATCAGGAAGGAAGGAAGAAGATAACAGTGATAAATAAAGGCTATGAGGTTTCTTCTTCAGGGAATAAAATATTCTAAAACTGACTGCATATATCTGTGAATATATTAAAACCACTGAATTATATACTTAAAAAATGTGTGAATTTTATAAAACATGCATTTTATCTCAATAAAGCTATTTTTGAGGCTGTTCTACCCTGAAAGAAAAACAGTAGAGATCTGAAAGTGAAGACTGCTGGATCACAAGTCCAGTGCACTTACACAGAGCCCACAATTAGTCCTCTTGCTCCAGGGGAAGTCCTACGGGGAAAAATAATCTACGCAGCTGCAAAGGAAACTCAGATCAGCACCTATACTAATCATGTATGTCTTCCTCATATATATAAGAAAACAAACACAGATGAGCAGATAGTTAAAGAAAAATTATAGGGTTTTAAATGAGCACTGTTCAGCATGCTGTGACTTACCAGCATTTAAAACTGAGTTTCAAAAAACTGGGGTTTCCAATCCTGGTTACATATTAGAATCACAGGTGGAGTCTTTTCTTTTAAATACAATTTCCTAGAGCTCTCCACAGATCTATTAAATCAGAATCTCTAGGATTAGACCCAAACACATTTTCTTTTTCTTTTTTTTAAATTAAAGTTTATTGGGGTAACAACTGTTAGTAAAGTTACATAGGTTTCAGGTGTTCAATTCTGTAATACATCATCTGTATATCCCACTGTGTGTTCACATTTTCTTTTTTTAAATGACAAAGTGACACTGACTTTTACTCCTGGATTAGGGCCAAAGATCTCTGGTAATGTCCACGGCTACCCTAGTAAGATTATAGTTAAGATTGGTAAACGTACTGTTTAGAGATAACTTTTTTCAAATTGGCAAGTTTTTGAAATGACTTCTACCTTCCTTATTAGAAAAACTATGCTTTTATGGAACTTAAACAAATTTTCCTCTTAATTTTCTCCAAAAATAATTAAACTAGATCTAGAAACCATATTAAGCAAGAGGAAATGAATGAGTACTTGGCATTTTTCTTTAAGGTGTACAAATTGAAGATCATCTCATTAACTTTGCTAGATAGATGTGCTTTGAATAATGATTAATTTAATTAGCAACAAAACAAAACACTGTTCTGTTTTTGTTTTAGTCACAAGAACTTATTTACTTACAGAAATCCATTAAAACCATCAAGGTTTTTTCCACTCAAGGCATCAATCTTGAATGGCCAAAACATTTATTTTACATCCAGATAGATTCTGTAAGTTTAAAGATAATAGGACAATTACCTATCCAAGATTTATTTTTCATTTTTAGTTTTTGCTTTGGTCACCAGCACGAGTAGATCCAATTATTTAAATATTTAAAACATATAATTATAAAAGAAAATTATCATATAGCCTCTCAAATTTCCAGAACTGTGAAAACATTACCACAATCTGTACTAATCCTGGGTGTTAAAACTATTCACCTGAGGTTCTTGGGTAATACTTTATAATACCTATATTCCATAATAAAATTGCTGCTGAAATATTAATATGTATCTCTTAATGACACATGTAGTATATATTCACTTAAGGGAAGAAAAATATTCATATAGTAGCTTTAAACCAAGTACTTCTGGTTATCTTCTATATGCATAGCACCCCAACCCTCAACTGTAAACGTCAATTTATATTTCATGACATGTTAGATTTTGCATGACTGATATATATAGCATACCAAGTGATAAATTAGTTTGAACAAATGTATTTCAGACTTCTTCTATTGGACTACTACATACCTGATTTTTCATCTTGTACTTCAAATTCTGCACCAGCAGATCCCAGTAGTGATGCCCCATGTTGTAACAATCTACATATATCAAATCTGTCAAAATTTAATCGATCTGTAGTAGATGAATCTTCCATAGCACTTTCTGAAGTAGGTTCTAGATGAGGTTTAAAAATAATTAAAAAAAATAATAAAAATAATAATAAATAAATACATATATATATATATATATATATAAATTTGATCATATAGTCAAAGTGTAAAATGAAAGAAAATAGCATTACTTATAGTGGATGGGTAATATTCTAAGAAAAGTAAAAGGTGAAGCAAGTAGAAAAGCTACTGAGAACTTATTTATGAACAGCTCTTAGTTATTTATCAATAAACTGCTTAGTTGGTGGCTCCCCTCCTACAAACCATCAGAATGTTAGTGTGTGTATATATAGCTGTTTTTGACTACAAAGCATGATGTTATATGAAGAAATGCATCCCCATGTTGAAATGTTAAATATCATGCTGTCTCCACTTACTGTAAAATTGTTTAAAAATACCACAGTAACAGTATTAGTTTATTATAGTGCTAAACAGGAAGATAAACAATTCACAGAATATATTCATAAACAAGACTAATAAGCATCATCCCTCCCTATACCTGAGGAATATCTAGGACACAAAGCAACTATTCATTCAATAGAACTCACTTCTCATAATATGAAGCAAATTATAATCTCCTGGTAAATTGTTCAAATTATATATCCATCTGAGGCCTAAAAATAGCTATAAAATGTTCTGTATTCCTCCCAAAAAAGGCTATGCCATTATAAATTTCAAAATATATTGTAATTGTCCACAGATTCAATGGTTTAGCTGTCATTTGCATATATTCATCTATAAACTAAAGTATAATTGATTGACTTAAAAAGAATTGCTTAAATGTTTTAAATTTTCTAGTGATGACAAGCAATCTTACTATAAATTTTAATGCTAGTGTAACGTATTTAATAAAGCTATGTAAAAAAGAATCTGAGTTCTAATATCTCTATATACCAAAATAAGCACAGATAATAAGCTGGAAAAGAAAAAGCTCTTTTCCAAAACAAGTTATAACTTCTTCTGGTTGTATATTTAATTTGATGAGAGAAAAGGTGAATTAATATAATCACTCAAAATAATAGGTGCCAGAAAATTAAAGCAAAAATTTTAGACAAGCTAAGACTTATAAGTGGTGTTATCAAAGTGGCTTGAAAATGAAACCCAGTTGCACCATATTAAATTTTCACTTAATTAAAGTGTGCACCTTTACAGATTTTTAAAAGCATACACTCATTTTTAAGTATCATTACAGGCAATCAGAAAAATAATTTCCACTACAAGATATCTAAAGGAGACATAAAAAACTAAAGACTGACCTGTCCAAATATCTATACATGATTGTATTTAAATTTAGAAAATAATTAAACTATTCTTTCAGCAACAACAAAAAATAGACTATTTCAAATATTTTTGTATTGATTTAATTTCTTTTTTAGGACATACATTCCTTGAGAGAAGTAATAATCTCTAAAGTCAAGCAAGTTGTAGAATTAATCATTTAAAAAGTATATATGAAAACATTTTGTTTATCGAGCAATTTTTTAAAGTGTGGTGAAAATCACCTTATTCAATGTCATTTCCTGACAAAGCTATACCTATAAGCATGAAATTAAGCCTTTAAAGTTAAAATTGAAATTATTAAAATATAAAATGTATAGTATAGTTAATTCTACAGTTAGGTTTTTACTGCAAACAAGTTTTTCCACTTAAAAGCACCTTGTTTGGTTCTTGGCACTGGATTCCATTCAGGTACATTTTTCACTATAGCTTCAACAGCTTGTCCTGCTGCAATCCGGGTATCCCAATTAGTACTCCGTAAGTATATCAACACCTTACAAAATTATAAAATAAAATAATTATATACTAAAAAAATGTTTATTCAAGGTAGAAAAGAGAAATACAAATTTACTTGTTATTAATTTATAATTTAGCAGCCCTACAATTTATATAAAAGATCTTGAAATTATTAAAATCATTTATAAGACTCCATTATTCACAGGAAATATCACACCTTTAAAAAGGAAATGGGAATGAGGAAGAAAGAGAAGGGACGGGACAACATAAATTGGTAACTACAATATTGCCTCAGGGATAGAAAAGACAGTTTGGGGAATATAATCAATAATGTTGTAAATATTTTTTAGGGGGCCAGATGGTCTCATGTCTTGCTAGGGAGACGTCATGGACAGCGTAGAGGCCTGACCACTGCACTGTACATCTGAAGCTGCTGTTGAATAATATTATATGTCAACTATAATTTTATATATATATAGTCATGGGATATATATAGTGTGGGAATGGAGTCAATGGAATTGTAATAGACAAGCATGATATCGGGGGTGGGAGAGCAGTGGATGAGGGAGGGGGGTTGTCACTTTGTGAGGGGTGAAAAGAACAACTATTGCATTGTTTTGTACACCTGAAACTAATAAAAAAAAAGTAAAATAAAATAAAAAGGAAATAGGAAACTTTTAATCAAAGAATGCTTAAGTGCATTTAAAAAATAATATAGCTTTTAACACACTAAAAGCAAAATGTATATTAAGTCCCATTATTTAATGCAAAAAGTTATAAAAACTTGCAGAAAGAATGAGTTCAGCAAGATTGAAAGAGATAACATCAACATACAAAAATCAATGGTGTTTCTATAAACTTTTAATACACAATTTGAAAATAAAATTAAGAAAATAATCCCATTTATAATAGTATTAAAAGCATAACATACTTAATAATAAATTTAACAGAAGTGTAATACTTGTATACTGAAAATTCAAAAATTCAAAAACTGTTGAAAGAAATTAAATAAGATCTAAATAAACAGAAAGACACCTCGTGTTCACGGATCAAAGACTTAATACTGTTAAGATAGTAATACATGTACTCCCTAAATTTATCTACAGATTCAACACAATTCCTCAGAATCTCAGCTAGCTTTTTTACAGAAATAAACAAGTCGATCCTAAAATTTATATGGAAATTCAAGTTATCCCAAATCACCAAAACAATCTCGAAAAAGAATAAAGCTTCTTGATTTCAAAACTTACTACAATGCAACAATCATCAAGATTGTGTGGTATTGGCAAAAGGACAGATATACAGATTAATGGAATAGAATTGAGAGTTCAGAAATAATACTATGTCTACGGTCAACTGATTTTCGACAAGAGTGCCAAGACAAACAATTCAATGGGTAAAGTGTAGTTTTTTAAACAAATGGTGTTGGGGAAATAAAATAATGAATTTGAACCTTTACTTCACACCATACACAAAAAATTAAATGAAAATGACTGTAAGTTAAATAAGAACTATAAATTATAAAATTCTTAAAACTTAGGGATAAATCTTTGTGACCTTGGCTAGACAAGTGTTTCTTAGATATAACCCCAAAAGCACAAGTGATGTTAAAAAAAAAAAAAATCCGACTTCATCAAAATTAGTAACTTTAGTGCTTCAAAAGATACCATCAAGAAAGTGAAGACAGGGCCGGCTGGGTGGCACAGTTGATTACAGCACAAGCTGAGCAACAGGGTTGCCAGACTGATTCCTACATGGGCCAGTGAGCTGCACCTGAGCTGAGCTGCCGCTGAGCTGCCAACAAGCGGCTGGATGGCTCAACTGGTGATAGCACGTGCTCTTTTTTTTTTTTTTTAAGATTTTAATGGGGAATTGGGGGAGGAAAACAGTGCTGGGGAATCGGGGGAAGGGGAACAGACAAGTTGCTGTTGTTTTTTGTTCTTCAGTCTAGTTGTGGAGGATGTGGCTTCACTGGCCCAAGCTGGCATCATCATTGCGCTCTTCCCGGCCGAGGCAGATCAGTCACCGGCCTCTGGACGGCCACTCACCGCAGCTGTTGGCCGCTCACGCTGGCTGCCGGCTACACACAGTAGCTTATGGCAGCCCACCGCAGCAGGGGACTGCAGCCTACGCCATCACCGGCCAACCACAGCAGCCCAGCCCCAGGTCGAGTGGCCATTCACCATCTTAGCTGCAGAGGGCAGTGTCACTGGCCCTCATATGTGGGATCCGAACTGGGGCCCTCTGGCATCCCAAGCCAGGTCTTAACCAACACGCCACTTGGCCGGCCCAGCACATGCTCTTAACAAGGTTGCCGGTTCAACTCCCACATGGGATGGTGGGCTGTGCCCCACCCCCTTCCCCGACTCCTGCCACCCCCACAACTAGGTTGAAAGCCACACTGAACTTGGAGCTGATGAGTCCTGGAAAAACACAATGTTTCCTTTCCCCAATTCCCCAATAAAATCTTTTTTAAAAAAAAAAAAAAGTGAAAACAACCCACAGAATGGAAGAACATATTTGTTGTACACCTGAAACTAAAAAAAACCAAAAAAGCAAAAAACAAAAAACAACAACACATATTTGTAAATCAAGCCCCTGATAAGGGGCTTGTATCCAAAATATATAAAGAACTCTTAGAACTCAATAATAAAAGAACAAATATCCTACTTTAAAAATGGGCGAAGGATCTGAATAGACAGTTCTCCAAAGAAGATATATAAATGGTAAATAAATAGATGAAAAGATGTTCAGCATTAGTCATCAAGAAAATGCAAATCTAAAGTACAATGAGATTACCACTTCTCACTCACTAGTATGGCTATAATCAAATAAAACAGTTAACAAGTTCTGGCAAGGATATGGAAAAATCAGATCACTTATACACTGCAGCTGGGAATGTAAAACAGTACAGCTGGTTGGAGAACAGCCTGGCAGTTCCTCATAAAGTTAAACACAGTTACCATACTCGAATGATGGAGCAATTCTACTCCAGGTATATATGTCCGAGATGAAAACATATCCACACAAAAATTGTACATGAATTTTCATAGCAGCATTATTCACTATAGGCTAAAAGGTGAAAACCCAAAAGTTCATCAACTGATGAACAGATAAGATGTGGTATAGCCTATCCATACAGTGGAATATATTTGGCAATAAAAAACAATGAAGTAATGAGGCATGCTATAATATAAAGAAACCTTGAAAATACTATATTAAGTAAGAGAAACCAGTCACAAAAGGTCTCACATTTATAGAAAATGTTCAGAATAGGCAAATCTATAGACAGGAAGTAGATCAGACAGTGATTGCCTAGGACTGGGTATGTGAGGGGGAGTGATGGAAAGTGACTGCTATTGGGCATGAGGCTTTTTGGGGGGTAAGATAAAACTGTTTCAAAATTAGATTGTGGTGATGGTTACACATATCTGTGAATATAATAAAAATCATTGACTTATACACTTTACCTGTGTGAATTTATGGTATGTAGATTATACTTCAATAAAGCTGTTTAAAAAACCAAACTGAGGGCCAACCGAGTGGCACATTGGTTAGGAATTGGCTTGGGACGCCAGCTCTGAGCAGCAGGGCCCCGGTTCAGATCCCACATGAGGGCCAGTGACACTGCGCCCTCTACAGCTAAGATGGTGAACAACAGCTCGACCTGGAACTGGGCTGCCATGAGTCACCGGCGACGGCATAGGTCGCAGTGGGGCTGGCCAGCAGCAGGCGTGAGCTTTTGTGAGCTGCCGTGAACCACCTTAAGCGGCCGTCCAATGGCCAGCAAGTGACTGCCTCTCCCGGGAAAAGCGCAATGATAATACCAACACGGGCCAGTGAAGCGACGTCCTCCACAACTAGACTGAAGAACAATCCGACAGCAACTTTTCTGTTCCCCTTCCCTGATTCCCCAATGCTGTTCCCCTCCCCCAATTCCCCAATAAAATCTTTAAAACAAAAAACAAAAACAAACTGAAGGCAACATGAAAACACTGAGGGCAGAGAAAAGAGGATGGGAGGTAAGAAGGTGCTAAAGACAAACTGTGCCTCTTTGGGAATTATTTGATGGCAGCCCTGTATGCTGGGGTCTGAGCTACAAAACCAGAGCTCACTTGGAAGGCTGGAAACCTTTCCTCAGTTCAGCACAGAATAGTCTTGCTCATTGTTTCCAATTACAGCTCATTCAGTCCTCCTCTCTTTTCCCTTGGGATGAGAAGAAATGGGTATGCTTCTCTATCCCTCCACCTTACACAGGAGTATAATATTGCCTAATATGCATCTTCCTCTATTCTGAGAACATGGAGCATGTAGATGTCAAACCAGTGTCATTCCATCCACATCTTGGTTAGAAAGTTCTGATAATATCTAAGCGGGGAATATGTTGACAAGAGAGTCACTGTTAGCCCTTATGGTAGGAACCACATAGTACAGATTTGTATATATCAACAAAGGGCTTAGAACTCCTACTCATACGAATCAGGGAGAAATGAAAATGAAAGAAATGGGTAAGATGGCAAGAAAAGAGGCATCTTGGAACTTCCAAAGTCTGGGCTATCATATTGCTCCCCCATCCTATCCCCTATTTTCCCTGCCCCCAAAGCACTCCTGTTTTCACTTTGCATGCCAGAGAATTAAACACATGGAATTTGCTGCTCACTATCATACAGACACATTTCTACAAGCCCAGAGAGTTCAGTAGAAGTATAGCCATTGCTTAGGGAAAGAACATGGCCTAGGATGATGAAAACACTAATCCACTAAAGCAGAAAGTCTCCACTTTCAAAAAGCTGATAACTAAGAATGTAATGACAACCAGCTTTTCACACATTTTAATCATTGCCCATGAGTACTCATCCATTTGAAGACTGCCAACTATGATATAATTATTAGCCGTTAAGAACAAGTTAGGCAACTAACAAACTAGACTAACAACTTAGTTCATTACCAAATTGGGTCAGATTCAAATTTGTGCCACGGGTAAAAGGATCTATGTTGTCAAATCTCTTAAAAATTAAACTTGATGCAAAAAACAAA